TAAATGTATCACTACTTGAAAAACAGAGTTCACTGATTTTTTTTACTGCAAATACATGTGTTAATCAACAAACAAGTATTGAGGGTCTATTATGTCCTGTGCTGTGGCATTACAGCAAGGGGCCTGCCCCTTTCCTGCTGGAGTAGTATTTTCTTGCAGTTTTCTTAATTGTCCATCCTAGAAAACAAGGCTGATCTAACAAAGGGCCCTGTATAATCACCCATCTTCTGAGAAAGTCCTCTGAGAGCCTTATGTTCTCATCACAGAGCAGTGGATCCAAGTGAAGGCAGGCTGGCAATGGAACCCTTAGCAGGTGCACACTGCTGTGAAGTCATGAAATCTGTGTTTCAAACAGGACACTAGAGCAGTTTCTCAATTTTGACAATGTGGCTATTTCAGCAAAGATAATTCTTTGCTGTGGGGGGCAGTCCTGGGCATGAGGGGATGTTTTGCAGCATCCCTGGCTTTCACACACTAGATGCAAAAACACACACCCCTCCCAGTGGTGGCCTCCCAAATCATCCAGACATTGCCATGTGTTTGGAGAGGGGATATACGTGGACAACTACTCTGGAGGAATAGTTAGCTCACTGTTTTGGCCTTCAAAGTAAATACCTTGGCAGGGTGGGGGTTTAGAGCGAGGGAGGGACGTAGGATTCAAATGCCTGCTGATAACTCTGCACGACCATTTTTGGAATTTTTTCCCCTCTTGGAATTGCCTCTGGAGCTAGTTTTTGAACATCAATAGGAAGTAAGTTCTTCTTCTTCATGATCATAGCTCACAGCTATATTCTTGGAATTTGCAGAACTTTAGAATTGGAAAAGAGCTTGAAGATCAGCTATGTTCAAATAATCACGTCATCCACTGAGTATCTGAATTCCAAACTCAGAGTGTTAAAACAGGTCTTTGTCATTAGGGCACTCTGGCTGTGCTGAACAGAAATTACCAGATGACTTCACTGCTAAGTATTTAGAACAGTATCATATGCACAATAAAAATGGAGAATGTTATCACTGACCTAGGTACAATTTGGGGTTAGTAGAGAATACCACCCAGAGGGGTTCATAATGATTTATAACAAACAAAACCACCTAGAGTAGGTCCAGACCCGTAACTGGAAGACAGGTATGGAGTTTGGGGGTGCACGGTGAAAACGCACCCAATGATATGAAGATCTGCTGGCCACCATCACAGCATTTTTAGCAGAAATATTCACAGTTTTGTTGCCCGGCCAGGAAAACCGTGTTTCATTTACAGAGCATTTCTCTCTCCTAGTGACACATCCTGTATTCACTGGCCTGAGATGGTCCCCTTAGATAAAAGTAAGCCGAAGGAAAGCATCTAGAAAACAAATCAGCTAGCATTCTGCTTATTCATTTTTCATAAACATCAGAACATCTCCTCCTAAATGAAAGGCTGAACTGTGGCTACAGGAGAGAAGATGAAGGAAGGGCAATAAGCATTTTCAAGGGGAATCGCACTGTTCCTTTTGGACTGTAATGTACGAGAGTGGCTCAGGGAGAACTTGCATTTTCCTGGTCTGATGTTTTCCTACCGGTGACTTCAGCTAGAGCTCCCCACCCTAACCCTCTTCCCACATCTCCTTCATGCTTCTGGCGCAGGGTGGGGGAGTGGAGTGCGGGAGGGGGTAATGTCTTATGAAGAGAACTTGGGAGAAGGACTATGGTCTCAGCCCACCCATCCCCGTGTCTTCTCATACCTGCCTATCTGTGCAGAGCACCTGTTTGGGCAACCTTAGCAGTCCGGGCTTGACCCTTACAGGGAGCCTGCAGTCAGCCAGTCCAACCAGACTGTCTCTGGGTGACACGGGGCAAGTGTCACTACAGCCAGCCCTTCTGGCCACAGACACAAGGCTCACATCCGTCCATCAACAATAAAGCAGACATCCTGAGTCCCCTTTGTCTTGTCTCGAGAGTGTCAATGGGGTTTGAACTCAGGAGGGGAGGAAAAGGGTGTTAGTAGCTCTCTAAGACCCCAAGAATAAGATCTGGGTTAGAATGGTTTAAATATTCATTTGAGAACACCAGCCCATTCACACCACATTCCACAACTAAATGATCAAAGCCCAGTTAAATCTGCATCTCCATGCCCAGATTCTCAGAATCCGGTCTCACCAATGGTGAGAATGCCAAGCTGAATACATGAACGCTATTAATTTAATAAGTTTAAAAGAAAGCAATTTTGTCCTTTCAGGAGCAGGTTTCAAGTACTGGCCCTGACATTAGCTTGGGTGAGTCATTTCACCTTTATGGAGCTGTTCAATGGTGAAAGTCTCAAGAAGTGGGGACGATAAAACCAGCAATTGTAGGAGGTTTTGGGTTTGTCTGTCTGTGTTTTGAATACACTGCTGATGAGAGAAGGAATCTGTGAAATCAGTAAAAAGGGAGAGCCAGCCACAAACCTTTGTGGCTTTCAGGTGATAAATGCTAGTAGCATTCATTTATTCTATGTATTCCCTAGAGTGAGACAACTTTGCCTACCGACGTCCCTGAGGAATTTAATTTAATGAAATGAAAGAACTGCAATTAGAATATAACTGTGCTTATGTAAATATGCTCAGGGGAGATTTGGGAGAGTTTATGGTTACTACATTCACTCAGAATTTTGCACATTTTTAATTTGCACTACTATGAAGACAGGGTTTGTTCATCAAAGATAAACTATCCCAATGATTTTGAATTCGTGAGCTCCAAATCATGGTTGAATAATGAGGGGGTGTTGTGCATAGACAGCTCTCTCTGCGAGGTGAAAGCTTTCCGGCTGGCCACATAGGAGGTTTCCTTATTGAATGATTTAATTTTAATTTTGAACAGCTACCCAGCATTACCCTTCACAAAAATTAAAAGAGGGAGCTGGAATTTTGTCTTGTTCGGCAAGCCTCCTGGCAGGACTGCTCACCATGGCAGAGAAAACCGTACTATGTAAGAGGAACTCCCTGTCTACCTCTCTCCTAGATCAGAAAGAATTATGCCTATTTTTAATGAAACTTTTGGCATTTTTCCCTCCCTCTCTCATAATATTTTTGTGCATTTTCTTCTTCTGGAGGAATTTTAGCCTGTCTTCTTCAGACTCCTTGCACCTTCTGGTCTGGTAGGGGTTGACATAATCCCTTGGCTTCAATCCTTAAATATCCAGACAGTCAGGGATGTCTCCACACAAAAATCTGTGGGAGCCAAGCCTGTCCTCAGCACGTCTCCCAGAGGCTATTCTCTGCCAAAGAGAATGACTTCACCATGTACAGTGGAGGCCCCAAAAGGTCCCTTCCTTGTTTTAATTCAGTTGAGGATACAAAGTAGTGATGGGCTGATAGCTGCGAGATACATGGGTTTGAACATAAGAACACTGACTGGGTCATAAACCAGATTCTCTGGGGGTTACAATATTGGTCTGCACCTTGCTGGCTCCTTGTAATTCAGAAACAGCAGCAGCACCAGTGTGTTTCCCAGGATCTATGTGCAGTATTTCCACTGCTTTCTTCCAAAAGAACTAATAAAAAGCTGGCAATCACAGAGTAACCTGTGATGCTATCAAACGCTCCTAAAGCATACCAGTCTTTGCAGAAAAATAAAATCAATTACCACTAGCAGTGTTTATAACCTGAAAAGTGCAGAAATTAAAAAACAAAAGCATAACCAGATAATCTGTTCACACCACATATTTTAAAAGACTGGCTGCATTTGTGTAATTGAAGCTACCTTCCAGTAAGATCTGTCATTCCAGCTCTGGTTCCAAGTCCTCCCCCAAGTCTTAACTTTCTATTTATTCTACAGAGTTCAGAGGAAAGTGGAAAAATAATGGCTTTGGACTGGGACACTGGAATACTTCTCACTATGGGATCAATTAAAACAGATATATTTCACTTAACTACTGAGTGCACTTACTGAAACATTCATTTAAGAGAAAATGCAGTTAAGAGGTGATAGGACTGTTGGCAATTTATAATTCTTTTCCGGCGAAGTTTGGTGTTAAGAGCCTCACAAAAAGATAAACCACAGTCTTTTTTTCCTGCTCCCCTTTAACTCTTCAGAAATAAATAACAGGGAGCCAGCAATGAGAAACACGTGGCAGAAACCCAGAATGGAAAGGAGCACTAGGGGTGTGGCCACTTTCTCAGGGAGTAAAGGAGACGAGCAGGTAAGGAGCTGCAGTCTAGAAATCTAGGTTCTGATCCGCTCTCTGAAATACCTGGTATTCAACATTTTGGAACAGTTTTGCCATCCACTCAACAGAAACACTTCATGTACAGAACATGTTTCCTAGTCATCTATATTTTTATAATGCCGGAAATGGGGTGAATTCACTCTCCTCCCTCACTTGTCAATTATGGATTCTACCAAAGTTGCTGTAAAGCTAGTATGTGTTTTAAGAAAATTTTGTCAACCAAGCAAATAAAACTGCCCATGTTAACCATTCACAGCTCACAGATTTACATGGTGATTCTAGCTCAGGTTCGTGCAGATTACTTCTTAAAATTTTATTTAAAAAAACAAGACCAAAACTAGAGCTACTAATGCTTGGATTGGAAAACACAGCCAATATCAACAAAGCATTGTATATTAGTTAAAATCAATTGGGTAATCCAAAATAATCTGTTAAATGCTCTGAGGTCTAACTGTGTGCCTTGTGATTAAAATGGCCAAATGAATCTCTTAAAAAAACACCTAGCCTGGAGTGACCCAGCTCACTAGACTGTCATCCCCCTTCAGTCAGACCCTGTCTTAGTCTTCATTTAATCCCCACCTAGGATAAGGCCTATACAGTTGGTGTCCAAAAAAAGAATTGTTGAATGAAAAAGCATTCCTTTCTCCTAGGTGGCTTTTGTATTATAACACGGCTCACAGGTTTATAATTCCATCCATGTGGTTCTACAGCAATTGCAGAATTTTAGTATCACTCATGGTTACCAACATAATGAGCCCTTTTTCTCTACATATACATACATATTCAGATTGTATAATACAGAGGCTCCGATCCCTACCTGCTTGGTTGGTTGTCACAGTGACAGACACTGACTGGTCTGGGCTAGGGTTATACTTGGACACTCCATTCACAGCCCAGATTTCAAAGGTGTAATTAGTATGAGCCAGAAGGTCAGTGATGGAGACTTTGGTGGTCTTCAGGCCATTCTGCTGAGGGGTATAGTGGACCCCACTTCCACAGGGTCGGCACTTGCTGGAATCGCCAGCTCCACATTTCTTGCATACCACATTGTAGGAAATGTCCTGGCGGCCACCTGTGTTCTGAGGACTGCTCCATTCCAAGTTCACCGAGGTCTCATTGACATTTGAAATCAAGTTGAGGGGAGCAGATGGTGGACCTAGAGAAAGAGAAGACATATTATCACACCAAGAACTGAAATACCCTTTTGGAATCTCTGTTTATCTTATTCTCTGTAGCTAAGGGAAGGAAGGTGGGCCCATTCGGCAAAGAAAGGAAAAAAAGCAAATCAAGTCAGAGAAAGAGATCTTCTAAGGGAACAATATGAAAGGAGGTCATACATGGGAGGGTCAGTTTTATTCCTGTGCAAACAAGTGTTGCATCGACTGCCATTCTGAGATGTGAAGCGATGCTACATCAAACAGGCTTCAAGTCCAGACTTTCTCTATGCCAGTGGCAGCAAAATATTGTAACTTATCTAGTCTCAATCTTATCATCTGAAAAACAGGTTACAGAAATGTGATTCTAGTTCCCAGGGCTGTCATGGGACTCTGGTAAATTAATACTTATATAACATTTCTGAAGATAAATGATGATTCGTAAGTACAACATGTCATTCATATGAACAAAATTAACTGAATTGTATAGATAACACTTCTTCGGTCCAGCATGGAAGTTGAAGATTAAGCCATATAGGAACAATTAGCAAGAACTAGTTTAACCTCATTGCAGAGATGTTAAAGATACAGTCACTGAGAGATCTCAACTGAGGCAGGGATGGTACACAAGCTCCCAGGCCCCACATCTTGCCCTTCAACTAACCAGGGCTGCACCAGGTCCTTTTTAAGCATGCTAATTCCCATTGGCATCAAAGGGCTTCTGAAATATGAATGGCGGTGGTGGCTATTCAGAAACAGGAGAAGTGGTCACAGGCAACGTAATGGGTGGTTTAAAAATAGTAATGCAAAATTTAAGACAACAGAAGCATGATGAACCCTCTTGCTTCGTGCTATAAATTAGTCTTTATGTGCCAAGAAGTTAAGACACAAACTGGAGGAGAATCAGAGTGGGAGTAGAGGGAGGGATTTTCCAGGTCTGACCCAGTTCTAAAGGTTTAAAGTGACACCTGGCACACTCCAATGGAAACTACTTACTCAGTGAGACAGTTGCAAAAAGCCCTCTCGTTTCCTTTCTCTCTCCCGTTTTGTCCTTCCACGAAGAGAGTCAAAGTAAGTTTTAATGAAAATCTGTGGTTTCTTGCTCACTGTATCTACTCTACTCCTAATTTATTTGTAATGACTGCTTGGAGAGAAATTGGTTCCTGTTCCTCAGGAAAAGGAAGCTAACTGGAAGCCTGCATGAACTCAGAAGATACTTCATCTAGTCAAGCATAATGGAAGGTACTGTTCCAAAGCAGCCATTGCGAGAGCACTGGAAGAAGTAACCGCTGAAGAGGGCATCAATGTTCCGTACTTACGACTTAGCTCATGCTGATGGACGGCTACAGGATTTGGCGGGGTAAACGCTAAGAAATTCACTCTCCTTTTCTCCTTATACAGCTTACCTGAAGACTGTTTTACCAAAGTAAGCAGGACCTCCCAATCTCACCTTGAGATTAATTACCAACAACCTCTCTTAGTGGCAAGACTTGCTCCCCATTCTGTGACCCTTAAAGGAAAAACATGTAAAATGTGTGTTAAAAGGAAAGATTTACCCCCATGGAGTCCTCACAGAGAAAATACAAAAATGTCTTTATTGTTTAGACTTCAAATTTGTATTCCATGGTCCTTAGCACACTGACTGAAATACAATGAAGACAAGGAATCGGTTTTTGAATAAATGAATAGTTATTTAAAATCACATACTCTTAGAGCTGGACAAGATGCTCAAGATGATTTGGTCCAACAACCTCATTTTAAAGATGAGATAATTGAGGTCCAGAATGAGGTTCCCGTAACACTGAAAGTTCATGAAATCTAATTAGTGACTAGAATCTTACTGAAATTCAGAAGTACCAATTTCTCCTCTGGGTTTATTTCCACTCCACCATGTGGCCCCACATTCAAGGCATAAAACAACAAAAGCAGTAGTTTCAGCCAAAATGTGAGTGGCAAAGTAGGAAAAGAGTGTATCTTCACTCCTGTTCACACTGTGGATGCCTGCCACCGTGGCGAAATCCATTAGTCGTCTGCAGCTGCAGCAAACCACAGCTTGGTTTATAAAATGGGTCAGCCACTGGTTTCTCATTTTGCTGTGACTTCCAGGGTTAAATCGGAGCGACTCTTAAATCCATTAACCCCCTTGCCAAGGGTTCCTAGTCCAGTTTCACATGGGAAAATGTGACACAATGAATCAAGCAGTCGAAGAAGCAAAAAGTCAGTAATTAGTATGTAGGACGGGGCACGGCGGTGTCTAAACAGAGAAGAAATGGAGCAGAAAACTAAATGGTCACAGGTCTCAGAGATATAACACGGCCGTGTGAAAATAAAATAGAAAGATGCTGCAGACTTTCAAAATGGAGGGCTGACCCAAGAGCAAGTGGTAGCCTGGAACAGCCTTCCTACTTTGGGCAGCGACGCTTAGAGAAGGCTCTGGGGTAGACACTCAAGGGAAGACAGGACTAGGCAGGTTCAAGTTCAAGGCTGCCTCCATGAATGGTTTGGTCAATCCGTACTGCGTGTGTTTTACGTTTTGTTGTCATTCAGTGTGATGTTACATGAGGTTAGAAATTGGCCTATGGCACAGTATTTGGGGAAGGAGGCATAGAAACATGCACCCAATATGACTGTAACGTTGTCCTGCAAAGCCCTGGGAAAGGACGAAAGAACACACGCTTATAAATTAAAATCATAATGGCGGTTATATGGGTTTGCAAGACAGTGGCTTTCTTTCCACTCTTAGGAGCCAATTAAAAGGTAACAAATATGTCAAGGGTGTTTCCATTTCTGAGGGACAATCTCTTCCTCAGAAAAGAGTATTTTTCTCTCAAGATGTGAAAAGTACAAACTTTAATATAACCAAAAGTCAATCTGGACCCGACAATCATATTTAACAGTATCATCTTGGAACAACTGCCTGTAGATTTGGCTAGAAAGACAAGAAAACAGCATTCTGAGTAAAGTGAGCTACTTCCACAAATACAAGGCGTCCAGAGGAAAAAAAGCTTCACTCTTAGATTATCTTTTCTATTTATGTAAATAGCATATCTGGATATTCAGGAATAATTTTCCGACAAGTGATTGCTTTTCTCTTCTGAAATATGTCCACCTCCAAGTCAGTCTCCAATTGCAACATGAGATTTATAACAAAGTGGGATAACTGTACTGTTTGTTTTCATGTTCGAGTCTCTGTATCAACATCCCATCTACTGAATACATAACACCATCAGGGAGCTCGTAGGTCACTGTGAATATTAGGGAATTTACACTTTCCAAAACTACCCATTTCTACCCTGAATACAGGAAGGGCCAGCAATCCTGCTTATGTATTATTCCGTATCGCAGGTCTTTGTTTCTATTTCTTACTGTGGAACGTGCAATGGGATATTGCTATTCAGAAGTATGTTGCTTTATCTGTTTCTATCACCAGTCTATGTATTTCTCAAGACAAGAATTGGTATCTTCATCATTTGCGTGTCTACCATGATACCTGGTTCAAAGCAAGCTCAATAAATGTTTGGTAAGTCAATGAATGAGTGAATGACTGATGGAAAACTAACGACGTCCTCTAATGCATTTTAGCCCAACTACCTACAGTGTTACATTTCAAGTGTGTGAATTCAAACGAGCTTCTCAGAGCTAAAGCTGTCTCACTCAGCTTTTCACATACAGATTCATTAACATTGAACCCTGTGAAAGAGTATTTCAATGAACTGGTTTAATTCAAGTTCCTCTTTATAGTTTAAAAATATTTTGGAAAATTAGGGAAGGCTATATATTATCATGTATTAGTGGTGACTTCTGTTGGGAGGGATTGTAGAATCATTCATTCATTCAACAAATATTTATTATTTGTCACCAGCCATAGATGATGAAAAAAATACAGTTCTGATTCATTTTGATGCTTTTCTAGATAGTTGAAGAAAGGGCAGGGAATCTAGGGAAATGGGAGATTAAAGAAGCTAAACATGGATTCGGTAAGTATGAGGAAGATATAAGAGCAAGAATGCTTCTCTCTCGTTTTTATAGCTCCATTACCAGCCAGAAGGGCTGGGAATTTAAAATGTGAGCTCTATCAATTAAAATTAATTTGGGATCGGTTATTATTATGACTTTTCTTTCTTTGTCTTGATTTCTGTTAATGATTTATTCAAGCATGGAGTATGGAAAACTATCTCTGAAGAAAGTTAATTTTAATGTTTTCATAGGCTGGCATTTTCCTTGTTAGCCTTTATATAACTACAGCTTTCCTCTACATTGTTATTGTCAAAACTAAGACATTTAAAAATATGTAAGTCAAGTACTTAAGTATATGTAAGAGAAAACAAATGCCCCTTCTTCCCATTTTTGTTTTATCTGCAAAAGCCCCATGGGATCCACATATAAGCCTAGGACTCTCTCTCTGCCTCCAAGAATGGAGCTGGCATGTTAAACTGTTTTAAATTTTTATCTTTAGATAAAACATAATTTAGTGGCATAAGTAATAGCTGTACCAGAATCAGAAGTCAAACGTAATCATCTTTAAGCTATGAATCGTTTACAATTTTATTTGCAAAAACAGAGGCAGTTTAATCTGACCTTAGGCCATAGCATGCAACTCCTGTGATGGAGAATTTGCGGGTAACAGTGCACTCTCCTTCCAGAAAGGTGCTGACAGGGATCCTCATGATTTTGCTATGATTCTAGGGACTTCAAGCACACCGGAAATTAACTATGGAGCTCAGTCCAAGAACCCCTGACTTACACCTTTGTACAGTCCCCGGTAACAACTCTGGCTTCCAAAGTCCAAGTTATACCTATCTAAACTCACTAAGGAAGAAATAAAACTTGTGAGATATTATGGCCTAGTTCTTGGGTGTATCATTGCTCTGAAAGAAATGGGAACTCTTATTTCTTGCCACTGTGGAGAAATTTAATGAACATCCATTCGCTTCACTGGTGTGAAATACTTTCTGTATTGGTGTGAAGTACTTTCACACAGCAGGTACTGGTGAAAGGTGCT